TTCAAAAGCGTCTAGTTTATTTTTATTCGCTTTCTTTAAGGTCCACGTTTCGGATGCATATGTGGCTATGGGAAAAATGAGCGCCCGTACCAGCCTTAGTTTTGTGTGTATTGTTATGCTAGAATTTTTACAAGTTGCTACCAGTTTCATCATAGCTGTTCTAGCAATAGTCAACCTTCTACGTATTTCTCTGTCACACCCTCCGGCATTTGTTATTAGGGATCCCAGGTATATGAAAGTATTTACTACTTCAAAGCCCCTAATTTGTTTAATGTCTTGATTAATGAAGATTTGAAGATTGAAGATGAATAACGACCACGTTATTAACGGGTCGTTTTATTAAGAATGCAAAAAGGAAAAGAGTTGTTAACCGCAATAAAAACAGCCAAAATCTACTATATATAAAATTTACTATATGTACTCTAGGCCACCTAGTATATGCCTACACAAGTATTAAAAAATATTTATTCATAAAAGGTCCTGCAAAATCTATATGGACACGTTCAAATGGTGCTGTAGGTGTCTGACATGGGTGGACTTGTGCTTTACTAGGGTTACTTTTGTGTTCATTGCAAACAGAACAGTTTTTGTACAATATTTCAATGTCTTTAGTAATACCTGGCCACCAACAGTGGCTTTGTGCAAGAGATTTCATCTTCACTACCCCAAAATGAGCAGTATGTACCTTGGTCACATTATGAGGAACAGCAAAAGATATGGGTTGCTTCAATTAATTATATAAGTAAAAGGAAAAGTAAAAGGAAAACGGAGACTAGAAAGGCGAAGAATTTCCTGGCTGAAAAATCTACGTACGTGGTTCACACAACAACTACAAATCTTTTCAGAACAGCAGTTTACAAAATACAGATTGTCATGATTAGTGTTGCCCAAAGGCAAGAACAAGATGAGACTTAGATAGTCTTGGTCTTGATCTTGCGAAAATACAACTGGTCTTAGTGTTGGTATTGCGCTCCTAATCTTGGTCTTGATCTTGGTATTGCGCTCCTGGTCTTGGTCTTGCAGCAAGAGTCTAGCAAGTCTGGCAGTTACCCATTAACCTATTACTATTTAGTAAATGTTACTTTAGATCTTACAACGTAACAGAGTAGGAACATTTTAAGCTTGAAATTACACAGCCATAAATAAGGGTAATCAAATTAATAAATATCTAAGCAACTGACACTGTTTTTCATTTTTATTTCAACCTTTCTATATTGGCACAATTTACACAAAGCAATTTGGGATGTACGAATTATTTCGAAAAACTTATCAAACTTGCTTTTAGGTCTTTTAGATCTATGACTCCAACTCTCATTACTCCACTAGATCTGTCACTCCGAGAACAACAAGATTTAGATGAAAAACAATTAGGTATTACATTAGACTCGAAGGAAAACTCAATTGGGAATGAAGTATAGTGATACCGATGAAGTAACTACTTGTTACTTTATATTCGTTACTCTCCAATACGCTAATTACCGAATACCAAACTGAGAATTATATATCGGTTACTTCCTTACTTTAAACATATCTGTATTTTGTTTACACGGTAACCGGCTATCTGTTATTAATTTGTCTCGTTACTTTTGAATATTAGCCGCGCTCTTTCTGAAAATTTTGTTTATTCGAATAATCTCATTGCACACTCAGAAGAAACTATGTTTAGTCTTAGACCGACAAGATTTGCGGTGTTTAGATTCCTCATAACTAAATTATAAGGAAAAAACCAAACTATTAAGTAGGTGTCCCTAACCGTAGGTATACTAACCTTACATATACATTTTTTATCAGCTAGGGTGCCATATTTTTAAAAAGTTTCGATACTATTACTGTTGGCAATAGTATTACTGTCGGCGTCGCAACGCAAGAAGATTACTGTATGATTAGAGGGGCTATTCTCAAAATCTGGACAATTAATTTCAAAGCGAAGAGGTCGTCTGCTGGAAACGAATGTACAAAATATTTTATTTCTACATTGTAATTAATACCTCTGAGTACGTGTCAAATGTGTCAAGTGTTCTTGTAATGGATATTTTGATTCGCTGTTAATGTTTATGGTATAGTTCGTAATGCGCATAAATCCAATTTTCCAAATTTTTGTTACATATTTTTTTGCTTCTCATAGAGTCTCTAAGCATATACCCGAACTACTATACTCCATAAAACGACAATCATTCCTAACTACAAGACGCAAGAGTCTCGCGGGTTTAGTCTTGTTCTTGCTTAAATCTTGCACGGTCAGTCTTGATCTTGGTCTTCCTAAAATTAGGTGGTCTTGGTCTTGCGAAAACGCAAGAACAAGACCAAAACTGCAAGACCAAGACCAATTTTGGGCAACATTAATCATGATGGTCGTCAACATCCAAAACGGATAGGCAGTATAAGAAGAAGGGATAATTTCTCCACACATGATATGTAGAAACAAAAAAAAAAAAAGAAAATACATGAGAAACAAAAATAGTTTATTTATAGTCCTGCACATTGGATCAAATAAGTTACCATTGACAAAAAGACTAATCTATTTCGAATAATTGAAATGAAGGATGAAGAATTTATTTCAACAAGAATGTTGGAAAACAGCATCATTAATAGAGAAAACAATAATGTAGGAGAAAATGTTAATTGGTTGAATATAAAACAGATATTCCAAAAATTATTCTATATCTATTTCCTAAATTTCTAAATTATCTATTTTCTATTAAGAAACACTGCAAGAAGATTTTCCATTTTACGAGATCAATATTGCAAAAAAGTCCGGAAAGGGAAGACCACCTTAGTTTTTAATATTGTTCAACAGCAATTCTACCCAAATCGCAGATCTGTCAAACACATGTTTAATTTATTTCCTTACATTCCACCATACTACCACAAATTTTATTAACATTTGCCAGTAAGACAAAGGACTAAACCTCGAGCTTCAACTTTAATAATCGACCAACTTGAGTATAATGATGACAGTGATGATTCAAATTATTACATAGACTAATTGTTTTTCGTTATTTTATTTTTTAGTTCAGTAGACACCCAGCATAAGTCATTTTTTCCTTGCATAATGTATTAAAAAAGGAAAACGCTTTTTATTTTCATTTAATTTTCTTGTATTCAAGTTAATCAGTATGTTACATTTCAATAAAATCATTATTAGTACTTATATGGGAGTCGTTATTTTATTACAACAAGTTTTAAACATAACAATTTTCTCAGTTTTCATATTTAGTGACTTACATTGATTGGCTTCAAAGCCCGCCAATTTAGAAATATATTTTTTCGGCGAGCATAATGACAGTCTTTGAGGGCATAGAATTAGAAGTCATTATGTTCGCTACTACTTATGGAAAAGTAATTCTTTTCGCCGGAAGTTTTTTAGTAATAACAGTTTTTGTTGATTAGTAATAACAGTTTTTGTTGAACCGTAAACAAGAATAAATAATAAATCCGTAAAATAGTTTCGAAACACAATTCGTGGAATGCAAATTTTAGATTCCCCATGTCCCTTTTAACATCTTTTTTCAACGTCTGTTTGCCTTGCAATTTTTAGAAGGCTCAGATTATAAGCAGAAATCTGAATTGTGTTTCGAAACTATTTTACGGATTTAGTAATTAGATGTCGCTATCGCGTCCGTATTGAAGCCATTTTATTGTTGCTCTTAAAAGGCAGAAAATATTGATTTTTCACGTTGAGAACTCCTATGAATAGCTGTTCTGATGAGACCTATTAGGTCGAAATACGTATCAACAGATACATAGGATTTGTTTGCGTGAAATCAAATATTTGCTGTCTTTTTCATTTTAAAAATAAATAATTTCACTAGTATTCGTAGTGTAATTCTTTTCGCTGACGCTTTATTACGGGTTATAGTTTTCTCTGGCATACAATTATAAATAATATTTTTCGTGGCATTTATTGAAAAAGTTCTAGTTTTCGTAAGCACCAGCGTTTAGTATTGATCTACTGCACTATAGATCACTACGTAAGCGCAAATTTTTTTAGTTCCTCGAAGTTTTTTTTTGTAAAATATATCTCCTAATTTCAGAAAGATACTCATTTCTCCAAGTGTACAATCTTTTGACATCCACTAATCCTAATATTTGTCCATCTTACGATATTTAAGAAAACAAAACATCAAACCCAAACCAAATAGAATATTCTACTTTTAAAAGGACGCCACATTTTTACAGACGATTTTAAATAGACCATGACATTTTTAAAATATGTCTCATTTTGTTTTATTAACCCAATAACTAAGAAAGAGTTGTCGTAGATGGAAACATAACAACGTAAATTCACTTGGTAGTTATTTTTATCCAGAAAAACGACATCGGCAAATATCGCACCCTTGTTTATACAACAGAAATGTCGTATCGTTCGGAGATATTAGTCTTTTTAACGACCACCATCGGATCGATTTCAATATGATGAATGTGTACGTTTTGAGTTATAACTTCTGATTAAATGGCATATCTGGTAAATAGATCGGACCTGGCTACTAGACCGTGACTACAGTAAATTAAGTTATTAATACAACGAAACAAAACGACAAGTTTGAATTAGATATTTTTTTATCTATTTGTGCACAAGAAATCATCATCATCATCATTGACTCTACAACACATAGTGGGTCTTGGCCTGGATCTGGATCAGCTTGCATTTCTTCCTATCCTTCGCCTTGGTTTAAAAATTTCGTGAATCATAATAATAATTCAATACTCCACCTGGTCTTTAAATCGTTCTCTGGCTTGCCTCTGCTTTTCATTCCATCCGCTCTTTCGTTATAAATGTGTTTCGGTGCCTCAATCTCGTACGTTCTCTCCATGTGCCCTAGCCACTACAGCCTGTTTAAGTTGATGGACCTAATAATATTAGGTTCAATATAAAGAGGCTAAACTCAAGATTATAGCGCCTACGCCTTAATCCATTGCAGACGTTTATAAGTATATAGAAAATAACATGAACCATATTTTTCCTACGTAATATTATTTAATGCATTAATTAAACTTACATGTTTTCTGCAGCAACCATGTCATCTCTGTTGATGTTTCCCATTCACGTTTTTTTTATTTAAGCGTATTCTCAAATCTTCCTCTGGACCTGTAATAGAAAACATTATAAAGTATTAAGATATAATTTATATTATACATACATTACTACAATTTGCTCATTTATTATATGTTGCACATTATATTTCGTTTGTTATTGTTGATGTCATAAGAGGTCAAAGAGCAGAGGTAAAGGAACTAATAGAATCAAAACACACAAAAGGATACGTCAATTATTGACTACCAAAAAAAGCTCTATGCAGAGAAAGAACAAACGACGCTATAAACCGGAAACAACAAACACTACCACAAATGTAGAACCTAATGTAAATATACAGGAAGTCAGAAAATACTTGAAAACCTGAAGAACAGAAAAGCAGCAGGTAAAAACGGGATACCAAACGAATTACGGAAATAATGTGTAGCAACAATGACAGAACAATTAACAATATTAATTAATAAAATTATAAAACACAATAAAATACCGGACGGAAGAATGGAGAACGAGCGAAGTAATTGTACTATTAAAAAAGGAGATAACAAACAGCCAGAAAACCACAGAAGTATAAACTCGTTACGAATATACGACTGTTTTGGTTTACTGCGACAACGAATCTTTTACTGTACAAGTAGAAGTATGAAGGTAAATTGGTCCAATTATTATTCCAATAAAAAGGGTCCACTAGTATGACATCTAAACTAAAATTATTTCAGTTAAAATCTACAATCTACTGCATGATGATCTCTAAGAAGGAACAGCAATTTGGACAAATCAGTGTAAACGGTTAACAAATAGAAAGAGTAAAAACATACACCTACCTTGGTACGAACGTCAATGAAAATTGGGACCATTCCATAGAAATCAAATGTAGAATAGAGAAAGTAAGATCTGCATTTCAAAAAATGGCTAAGTTATTCAAATGTCATGATTTATCAATGCCCATAAAAATCAGGTTACTACGATGTTACATCTTTCCTATACTGTTGTACGGAGTTGAGTCATGGACTCTCACAGACGCCACCTGCAAGAAAATTGATGCTTTTGAAATGTGGATTTATCGTCGCATCCTGAAGATACCGTATACCGACCACGTTACTAATGAGGGTGTTCTGTTGAGAATGAAAAAAGAAAAAGAGCTGTTAACCACAATAAAAACAGCCAAAATCGAATACCTCGGTCACATCATGAGGAACAGCAAAAGATATGGACTGCTGCAACTAATCTTGCAGGAAAAAGTAGAAGGAAAACGGGGACCAGGAAGGCGAAGGATTTCCTGGCTGAAAATGTATGAGCTGTACGAACGTGGTACAACACAACAACCACAAATCTATTTAGAGCAGCAGTATGCAAAGTGCAGATTGCCATGATGGTCGCCAATATCCGAAACGGATAGGCACTACAAGAACAAGAAGAAGAAAATCTACAAATAAATACAATGACGTCTATGAAGTCAAATGTGTTCATCAGACCTTTGGGTAAGCTTTCCGTGAAATGTAAACACCAAAGAGCCGTGTCGGGTTTCTTTGATATTACCCTATTTTATGACTTTATTAGGTATTACAACTTTAATAAAAAGAAATACCTATACTATTTTTAGTATAAATGAAAAGAAATTGGCAGAACGATTGGAACCTCTTTATACTGTGACGATGGTTCAGAAATCAGAAAAAGGATCTAATGTTTCACTTTGTTAGTTTTAAATATTTGTTTGCTTTGAGTTTATGTACTCTTAAAGTTCCGAAAGTAACGGGTATAACATACCGGCTATTGATAGTTAAAGTACCGAGTCGTTACAGATATTAAAAAGTAACGAAAATTTATATACAGTTTCATATATCGCCGACTAATTATGGCTGTGAATCTGATCGTTGATGATAGTTTTAGAAGATTAAGAGAATTAGTGAATAATGAAGTTTTTTTTTTATTTTTTTTAATACTAATTGAATATTTGCCTAAAAAATTACACTATTTGATCACTAAAGTATTGTTACATTTCGTTTAAATCACATAATTCAAAAACCAACTTGTTTACAATACTAAACTCCATGATAGTAATTATATATTTGAAAATCTAAATTACAACTATTCTATAAACTATTAACTTTATATTTATATCATGACTTCATATTTAAATCTAAGGTTTATATCTGTCGTAACAGTATTTTAAAAATGGGGAGAATTTACTGTTGTACAATTCAGTACATTGGACCATTTAAATCGACACCTTAAAGCGAATTTAAAACAGTCGTATATTCGTGGAATGGAGTATAAATACTACGCTAAAACTTACAACTAAAATTTTACTAAGTGCTAATGAATCAGAGGATAAGTTTAGCAGATGAACAACAGGGTTTTCGTAGTGGAAGATCTGGTACAGATTCAATATTAGTTATAAAGCAAATTACTCAGAAATCATTACAGTATGTTGGACCAGCATTTCTGTTTTACCCAAAGAAAGCGTTTGACAGAGTAAGACTCAAAGATGTAATCCATCTTCTGTATAATAGAGAAGTTCCCTTAAATATTATAAAAACTACCAAAACATCCACCGTAATAACAAAATGGAAGTCTGAATAGATGGAGAACTTACAGAATCTATAGAAATAGGCAGTTGAATAAGACAAAGGGGTTCATTGAGCTTCATACTCTTCAGTTTGATTATACAGGAAATCATTAAAAGCAGTAACAAACGAAGAGGATACATAACGGGAAACAAAGAAATAAAAATATTCAGTTACGCAGATGACGCATTATTGATAGCTCAAGATGAAGATAGTATGCAAAGACTGGTCCACCGATTCAACATAAGAGCAAAAGAATTTAATATGAACATCTCATCTCAGAAAACTAAAACAATAGGAGTCAGAAAAGAACCAACCAGATGTAAAATAAAAATTGATCGCATCAGTATTAAACAAGTAATGGAAATAAAATAGCTGGGAATTACTCTGTCTAGCTATGGAAACCTGACTATAGACTAGCAGGATGCCTTAATACCATTATATGGCGAAACAGACACATTACCACTGAGATGGAGTCAAGAATTTATAAAACCAGTGTAAGACCAACAATGACATATGCCTCAGAAACAAGACCCGATACAGCCACATCGCAAAGGCTACTGGAAACAGCAGAGTTGAGAGTACTGAAAAGAATGACAGGAAATACGCTGAGAGATCGAAAGAGAACTGAATACATTAGAAGAAAATGTAACGTACAGTGTACAAATGAATGGACATAAAATAAAAAAAAAAAAGAATGTAATAACCACATAGAGAGAATGGACGTGACCCGTGTCGTTAAAATAGCAGGAGATAAGTCACCAATCGTCAAAAGAAGTATCGGATAACCATGCAAAAGATGGAGTGACAGCATTCCATAGAGGTATTAATCCGCCAATGAACAAGCAAAATTGCTTATAAAGAGGAGGAAGAAGAAGATTATGGATGTAATTGCTGATAAATAAATGTAGTCCAGTTGATCAACTGAAATATTTTTTAAATAAATATTTCATGTTTCTTAAATAAAAAAAAACAGATGATACAATAGGCGGTACTGTAGACTAGCGGAAGTATCATACTAAGTTTTCTGTATTTTTAAAATTTAAATTTGAACAATAAAGAAATTTAAATAAATTTTAATTTTTTTATTGTTTTAATTTTAAACAAATTGTATTATATTAAGGATATTTAAGTAATTATTTTGTTTGCTCTTAACGCCACCTGCTAAAGTATTAACAAAGCATATCTTGACAGAACTGTCAAATTCAGACGAAATATTAAATTAATAAAAAAAAATAAATAAATATCATTTGAGAGTAAATTTAATTATTATATAAACTAAATAAAATGCCTAAAAATAATAACTGTATTTGTACGAAATTATTTTAAAACGGGAAATGTCATTTTTTTTTTTATTTTAACATATAATCGACATCAACCACATAGGGTTATTAGTGGAGTAACATACACGAGAATTACATACACAACGTAAATCTTTTAAATAATTTATTATATGGTCAGTGTTTATGGTTAAAGTGGTTTTGATGTCATCTGAGATTCCAATCAAAATATGCTTCACCATCAATGGGAGAGAACAGTTTTTGCAGGTTGGAGAAGATTCTTTGTTGGTTAAGAATTTATGGGTCAGTGCAGTGTGTCCAATTCTTAGTCGGTTAATTATTACTTGGTCCCTTCTATTGGATGGATTATTCAAGATGGTCATTAGAAGGGATAAATCTCATATAGTTTGGTTCCTGAATCTTTGCAGTAGTCTTGCCATATGTGCATACAGTGGTCTTTTAGGTTTTTGAGATCAGAGTATGGGTAATTTCTTGATTTGATTGTGTGTTGTGAGTTTATTCGACTTGTGTTTGCTAGGCTGTCCACTTTCTTATTTCCAGCGATTCCTACATGCGACGGTACCCAGATAAATGCTACCTCTTTTCAATTTAATTAAATTATATTTATCTCATTTTTTATAGCCTGAAATATTGGGTTTGTACAGAGGGGGTTCTCTCGCTAAAACTTGTAAGCTTGTAAAAAAACTTGTAAGCTACTAATAGGGCTAGTTCTGAAGGCACTCAATTTAATTTTTTTTAAATTAATAATTTAGTACATTTGAAATAATTTAATCTATTCTTCAACTTAAAGTACGAACAAAATTGTGCATATTATGTCTGTAGTTGCCGTAAATAAATTAAACCGAGTTAATTTGTCTATGCACACCAGATAAAATGTCACTAAACAGCACTGGTTCCGTTTAAAACATGGCCGATTTCGTCTAGGCGAAAGAGATGCGCGTACTTATTTTTTCAAGCAGAGTGGGCATTCTAATTGTTTATTATTATTTGATTTAGTATTGTTATCAATTGGATGACAATTGTGACTTTTAAATTTTGATAATCGTTACGAATCAAATATTTTATTGACAGATATGCTTTTAATTTTTGACTTCTCTTATTTTTATGTAGTTTTTTTCTATTTAAACCTGCTTAGAATAAATATTATGATGACTAGAAACGAATTAATCGGGAGTTGTAAATCGATGTG